CTGGAAGGTGTTTGGGGACATTTTCTTGATGTGGACGTGTTTTTTCCCCTGTTGTCCATCTCCATCTTAATTCTGCAAGCATCAGGAGAAAATGAAGTGAAATGAATGTGAATGTCTGTGGAGAGCAAACAAAGATCAAGGCTGCTGCTACACTTACTGTCCTTTACATTTCTCCTTCGGAGTGATGGAGTTTTAATACTAAGCATATGTGCTATTATCTTTAAGTTTTTCAACAGGTTTTTATTTGGCATTTATGTTGTTAATGTTCTCTCCTTTTTAGAATTTTTTTAATCATCAAATGTCTTTCAAATCAAGATCACTTTTACATATATAATTTTAAGATATATGCATTCTGAAATATATAATTTTTTCATAATATGTCGGTTCACATAATAGTAAACCACGCACTATTATATCTTTTTTGTGTGTGTTATTAGGGGTTGAATCCAAGGGTGCTATAACATTGACTAACATGTCCAGACTCTTTTTACTTTTTGAGATAGAGTCTCATAAAGCTGCCAGGCAGGACTTACACTTGTAACCCTCCTGGTTTCACTGTTGATTATTAAAGTCATTATTATTTAAATAGGTAAATTATGAAAATATGGAATATTTCATTATTTAGGAATTCTTATCTTTCATCCTTAAATCCTGAAGATTAATATTTTGGGGGACTTTGCAAATATTAGATCTTTTTCAAATTTCTCGACAGATTTTTTTCTCATGATTCAGAAAAATATATAAATTTCCCTAGAAATTAGCAGAAGAAATTTTCACAGGGAAGCATGACATATACTAAGCTCATTACCGTGCATAACGTCATTTGATTCTCACAGTAACCACTGATGCATAAGCACTTCACTGGCTCCGCATTACAAAAGAGAAAGCTAAGACACAGATGAAGAGCGGGTGACACCATCAAGACCACATATATGATTAGTAAGAGGCTGCACAGATTTAAATCCAGGCCAGCTGACTCTGGGACATATTCTCTTAGCTCATGCACCGCAGACGAGGCAGCCAGAAGTGAGATTCTGGAGCTACCGAGAAAACAGAATTGGGAAGATATTCTTAGATTTGTTTCTTTCTAATTCTGAAGAGTGTTTTAGCCAGGTGTATAGCTTGTTTGGGGTACAATGCTGCTTGAACTAAAACAGTAGGGTTTGGTGTCTTTTGAGCTTCCAAACTATGTAATTCCACACAGTTGAACTTCTTTGAAAGAAAGCAGATACAAAGAACATTTATTCTCTTACTTCATTTCAGCAAATCACTCTGTCCCAGAGCAGACCAGTGAAGTGACAGATTGAGGAACTGGCCCTGCCGGTTTCAGGAAGGACTGTGTGGTCTGTGGCTGCAATGGTCTGGTGTTTGCTGAGGAGTCACTCCCATCTCTGCTTTGCATTGTCTTTATAAACACCCCTGCTTTGTTTCTTGTTAATCCTCGCTTATCAATGTGCCTGTCCCATTCCCTGATTATATTCTGAGTTAGTTCCATTGCACTTTCATTTAATTACACTTTCTTATAGCATTATACACTTGGTATCTGCATCTGTAGAAATGAGGAGAATAGTGATAACTTTACCTTTTAAGAATAAAATTTTAAGCTGGGGATTTAGCTCAGTGGGGCCACAGCCTGCCTTGCAAGCGCAAGGACCCGAGTTCAATCCCTGGTACCAAAAAAAAAAAAAAAAAAAAA